CCTGGGTTCATGATGTTGTACATGTCTGCGTTTAACCACTCCTTCCTGGCTGGTTCTTGACTCCAGATGCGGAATACTTCGGTAGGTTCCCCTTCTTGTTTCCATGTTACCCAGTCGCCTAGTCCCCATTGCGTATTCCTTTTCAACATGGCTACCCACTCCTGCGGTATGGATATGAGTATGTCGTTAAGATACTAGGTTAGTATGTGGCATCCTTTCAATTCCACTCTGAGCTCCCTGGCCGTCTTCCATTGCTGCCTATCCTTTGCCCAAAGATGTTTGATCTGCCAGACTCCGTGTTCTACCCACGTGCCCCATTTTGTGTCCTTTAGTGTGAGAGTAGGGGTTTACCCTGTCTGTCCTTTATGGCTAGGTTACAGAATAGGGGTTGGCGAAGAACCTCCTCACGAGAACGTGACTCTTTAACTTCGGCAGGGAAAATTTCCTTTCAAAATTTCAGTAGCTGCTGCTAGTAGGTGTCCGGTCTGGTTCCGTGCTCGTTACTTGTCTCCTCCTCTGGGCCTCTCCCTACTTTGGCCCAGCTGCTGCACATCAGTCAGAAGAGCCCTGACATATTGGCTGGTGTAGTGTACTTCGCCATTGTCTGATTCTGTCGAGGGTCAGTGGCACCCATGGTAGTTTTTGATGGGTGATCAAAAGGATTACAATGGACCACAACACAAGTCCCGCTAAGATACCTGGGAGTTAAGATAATGGAAACAGACCTGCATCACTCCATGGCAGCTGAACTGATGACCAGGATCCTAGCAAAGTTGGGGGCATGGTCAGCGATCTATACCTCAGTGTTTGGGAGAGCGCTCATCCTAAATGCATCCATCTTCTCAATGATGTGGCACGCAGGGACAATTTGGAGCCCCCCAGCTCAAACGACAGCAACACTGCGAAGAAAAGCTTCAGCGTACTTGTGGACCTCGGATCCCAACAAGCCTAATTTCATTTCGAAAGTGGCATGGAAGCATGTTACAAAGCCGAAGGAACAAGGAGGCCTAGGCATAATAGACCCAGACCAGCAACATGCCACTTTCGAAATGAAATTAGGCTTGTTGGGATCTGAGGTCCACAAGTATGCTGAAGCTTTTCTTCGCAGTGTTGCTGTCGTTTGAGCTGGGGGGCTCCAAATTGTCCCTGCGTGCCACATCATTGAGAAGATGGATGCATTTAGGATGAGCACTCTCCCAAACACTGAGGTATAGATCGTTGACCATGCCCCCAACTTTGCTAGGATCCTGGTCATCAGTTCAGCTGCCATGGAGTGATGCAGGTCTGTTTCCGTTATCTTAACTCCCAGGTATCTTAGCGGGGCTTGTGTTGTGGTCCATTGTAATCCTTTTGGGTAAATGACAGGGTCTAAACCCTCTCCTTCTTCGGTTGTCAGCCACCAGTCCATGGTCTTTGACCAATTAATTTCATTTCCAAAGCTAGTTGGAATTCGTCCATGGCTCTTGTTAACGCTTGGAAGGAGGAATCAGATGCTCTGATCAGCACCGTCAGGTCATCCGCAAACATCAATGTAGTGGGGAGTTGCACTTGCTTTCCCTGCTGATCCGGTTCCGTAATCAAACGTTGTATCAAGGGATCCTTCCTCAAGAAGGAGGCGACGACCTCCATGATGAACAAAAAGATAGGAGCTGCTAGGGGATCCCCCTGTCTGACCGAGCGCGACATCCTGTATCTCGCTGAAAGGTGGTCGTTGACTTGGACTTGTCCATAGGCATAATTGTATAGAACTCTGATCCACTTTCGAAAGTTGGGTCCTACCCCCATCCTCTCCATACACTGTTGAAGGAAAACCCAATTCACTTGATCATAAGCCTTTTCAAAGTCAAAGAAGAGGATTGTTATGTTTATTTTTTTGTCCTTAATGTATCGTACCGACTCTGATAGAGTCAGACATTGTCCAAGATAAATTTTCCCGGTATGAAGCTAGTTTGATCCAAATGGAAGCATCATGCGGTCACTCGTCTAAGCATATTCGCTAATGCTTTGGCCATTATCTTGTGCGTCAAGGTTAGAAGAGTTATCGGTCTACAGTTCCGTATGTCCTTCGGATCTCCCTTTTTTATAGAGGAGTGTGATTATTCCTGTAGTTGGGTCCTGCCCCAAACCCTCTACTTGCCACACCTGTTCTAAGAATGCTTCATATTCTTCCCCTAGGATCGGCCAAAACTCCAACCAAAACTCTGGTCACACCATCCTTACCCGGTGTCTTGTTAGGAGCCATGGACTTAAGGGCTTCTTCTTGCTCTACCAGTGATAATGGGGCATATAACATTGTTGCCTGTGTGCTGGGAACTGTTGGTTCTAGGTAGCTTAGGAATTTTACCCTTGCGTTAGCCACTTGTTGTGGAGGGTGCTCAGACTCTCTTGAGGTATACAGGCTTTTGTAAAAATTGTGTGCTACTTCCACCATTCCTTCTGCTGTTGACGTGATGCCTTGATGTCCTTGCAGTTGTTCTATGAGGGTGTTCCTCCCGTTGGTCTTGATTTTATGGAAGAAGTACTTAGTCATTCGTTCTCCCTTTTCCCATTCCCTAACCCTAGCGCGCAATTGCAGTCCTCGCGTTCTCCATCTCTCCCACTCTCCTAGCTCGTTCCTCGTTGCTTCGAGAGTTCTTTCTTACATGACCATTCCAGGGTTTCTGATCAGATTCCTTTCTGCTATTCTAACCGCTTGTTGTAACTCTTACTCCCTTCTCTTTCGTTTGGCCGCCATCTATCTGGCTACCGCTACTGAGGTTGTTGTTAGCTCGTTAAGGAGGTCTGGGAAACTTTGTTCCTCATGTCTGTGCTTCATACAGGTCTCTGCTACTGCTTGTCTCATCTCTGAAGTTTGGAGTAGTGAATTATTTATCTTAAAGAAACTCTTTCCCCGCTCGACCTGATTGTCAGTGATTATGTGTAGGAATATGGGTTTGTGGTCTAATCCAGTCGCGTAAGGCAGGTCCCCAATCCCTACTTTATGAATCATTCCTGTTAGGCCCAGGGAAATTAGGAAGTAGTCTATACGGGAGGCTGACACGTGCTGGCTACGATTTCTCTTATAGTAGATGAATTGTTTCTCCCCAGGAGAAAATAGTCTATAAGGGTCTATCAATTCTCTACCCACCATCATATTATGTATTGCCCATGCCTCCTCTTCTGCTCCCCCTTCCCATTGTCTGCCTGTTCCTGACATGCGGTCCATACTGGGGTCGAGAGCGGCGTTCCAATCCCCAACTATAATGAGATGTCTGTCCAGTTCAAGTGTATTCTGTATTTTTTCTATCAGCAGCAGTCTCTGTTGAGACCCATTTGGACCATAGACCGTCAGTAGTGTATATTCCTCCTCTTGGAACGTAAAGTCTATTTTTGTCCACCTTCCTTCTGTTGTATCTGCTCGAGTGTCCTTCACTACAATCTTTTTTTCGGTTGCTGCTCTCCCATTCTGCAACATTGCCACACCTGTCGAGTGGGGTCTCCCCCCTGGTGCCCAGACTCACATTTTGGACCATCTCAACTTTTGTAGGAGTCTGCTTTACGTATGTTGATGCTCAAGAGTTGTTGTTGGGTGCGTTTCTTGTAAACATAGGAAGTCGGGGGCATCTGCTTCAAACCACCGTGTATGCTTTGTGATGTTTCCCCATTTCTCTTGATTGTCCAAAGCTTGTGTCAGCCCATTCACATTCCATGACGTGATTCTTAGTTGCGGAGTGCGGTTTCTTACCTGTTGTGGCCTAACCTTCTTCCCTTGCCTCTCTTCCGCCCGTTGCTCCATAAAAGGTTAATCCGCTTCTACTCGCCTTTAGCATCCCTGTACTAGCTCAGGAGCCGTGAGGCTCCAAATCTATCCTAGTCGCCTTTGGTTCGATCCTCTTCTCCAAGTACTTCAGCTTCCATGCAAATGCGTCCAATTCCACTGCTATGGTTGCGCTTCTTGCTGCCCATTTCGATACCACTTCCCCCCCTAGTAGGTCGTAGGGAATCGTTTTCACTACCTGCCATAACATCCATATGAGGTCTTCCTTCAAGACCGCTGTATCACTTAAGTGCATCAGAATTGGTCTGACTCGTCTGAGGTCCACCTTCGCTTCCTTCCCGGCGGTGTCTTGTCCTTCCCATTCCATTTCTTTCCTGTCTCCCAACACGTATGCCCTTGTGGGGATGGCTTCTGCAATCCTTTCCTGCAGATCTTTGCGTGAACAGGCACTGACCTCCACCGTGATGAGTTGAAGAGACCGATGAATTGCCACCTCCCAGTCTGTGTGCTTGCCATTCCAGCGGCAAGGAAGGAGCACCCTTCTTCTTGTCCCGTTTTTCGATTCAAGTCTCGCTGCCGCTTCGATTCCTTTTGGTGTCCATGGGCAATTTTATGAAGATTTATCGTTGCATCATCAATTTTTTTGTTTTGGTCTTTCAGCGTGTTAACTTTGGCCTCTATGATCGCCGCCTGTCTCTGCAATTTCTTCATCGTTTCCTCTTCCCTCTCCCCTTCCCTTCCTTCCCCTCGTCCATCTGATCATCCCCCCTTGGTTTGGCTTGGGACTCCCGCGATTCTTGTGACCCTTGTCCTTGTTGTGTCATGTTGTCGTGTTCCTCTTCGGCCCTCCCCTTGCGCTTCTTGCTGCTGTGTTTCATCTCCTGCTGCTGGTATGTCGATGGCCAGTGAAATTTCTTCTGGTATTCTCCCTCTCGAATGAGCACTTCATCTTTTTCGGTCTTGGCCTTACATGCGTATTGTGCTGCGTAGAACTCATTTATCTCCTGATCCCACTTCAGCAACTCGTACCTGTTTTTGGAGGTGATGTCGTATGCTACTTGTCTGACTTTCTGTAGATTATGTTGATGCTTGTGATGTGCCAGCCTGACCTCACCTTCTATATGTCTCCCGCACTCCAGTGCCTCCACTATTTGTGTCCACCATTCTAATGTTTCTTCCTCCTCTTCTTCTCAGTCCTCTTCCTCTGATGATGTATTTGTGTCATCCTCCTTGCCTCCCATACCTTCGTCCCCTTGGTCCTCCCCTTGGTCTTCCTCCGCTTGTTTAATCTCTTCTCCTGTCCGATTCTCTCGACCCCTCATGGGGCGCTGTCCGACCCCTCTGGCTGAAGATTGGCTGGCAGTCGGGGTCTCTTCCTGTGATGTTTCCATGGATTCCCCTTCTGGGCTGCTCCCCTCCCCCCTTGACTGTTGTTGAGACAATTTTGGCGTCTGGCTCCCGTGTGTCTCGTGGGTGGTAGACCCTTCTTGTGCTCTTTTGCCCGGCTGTTCCACCTGAGTGTCCTCCTCCGTTCCCGATGCGGTCCCCTTCCTCTTCCGTAAAGAAGTCGTGGTGGGGTCCCGTTCCCCGCTTCCGCACTCCATATTGTCTCCTTCGTCCTCTGCATCTTGTAGTGTTTGACTCTCTCCATTGTTCTCCCCTGCTTTTTGTCTAGCCCTACGGTTTTCAGTGAACACATGTTCAACTGTCTTCCCCACTTGGTGCAGTTCTTCCACTGTGGTGAGTCTCTGTTTGTAATTTAGAACCATCGAGTCTTCAATCATTGGTTTGACCAGGAAGCCGGTGTCCTTGTCCTCTATTCGCTTGGAGCATGTCCGTCTCCACCTGTTATCGTAAGGTGGGTAGACATCCGGCTTTAGGGTCGGTGTGCCCTTGAGAACCCAGACCCACTTGGGGTTTTCTAGATTATCGTTAAAGATCCACCCCTTTGTATTGGGTTGAATTGATGTACCATACCCTTGGCTTGTTGTCGCATTCCGCCAGCATGGATTGCCTGAGCGGCACCTGCCTGTTGGTCGCCCCTACCTGTGGACAGTTTGCCCCCAAATGCCCCCTTCCCCTACATTTAAAGCAGAAGGGGTTGGTTTTCGTTGATACAAAGATGGTGAGACGCTTGCCGCTCTTCTGGAAGATCCATTGCTCGGGGAATTTTGGTGGTGCCCCAGAAGTAACCTCCAGACATACTACCCTTGAATCATGGTTAGGGGCCAAGAAGTCCGGATTCATTGGAAGCCAATCATTTGGATATTCGTCTGCAAGCCTCTTCTGAACGAAATTGTGCATACCTTCCGTTAGATTATCGAATTGCACCCCAAAATAACTCCTCATCATCACTTGTCGATGCCTGGAAGCTTCTGCCTGGTGGTCTAGGTGGTTTCCAGGCTTGTATTGTCACCACTGCTCCCCGACACTTCAGTGCACCCAAGGTGATGAGGTATTGCGCATATGTGGGGTCCATGCACACAATCATAACCATGAATCTTCCTCTCTTGTGATAGGAGGCTTCCGGTTCGCGCCCCGGCACACTCTCTAGAGCTCTCAACCGATCCATCATCCAACGTCTCTTTTCATTCTGTGACAGGTCGTGATTCTTACCCGCAAAGTTGAAAAGTACTGCATGCTTCTCGTACAGGTCATTGAGCGTCGATATGTTTTGTTCGGGGTATTCCCACACTTCCACCTCTTCCTCCTTTCCTCCCTCCCCCTTAATTACTTCCTTTGTAACTTTAATTGGGGCGGTGATTTTTGTCTTTTCCAACAGGAATTCCATAGCCCTCTACCCGAGCGCCCGCGGTTTGGATGTGCCCCCTCCTCCTGATGAGGTTGCCTGTGATGTCGCCTGTACCGATTGCACGCTTGTTAGCGCTTGTTTTCCTTGGTCAAATTACCTTTTCTCTCCTTCATTCATTGCCTTTTGCGCCGCCTGCGAGTATGGTGCTGGCGGATTCGCTGCCTGAGATGTTGCCGATGATGCCGCCATTGCTTCTCCCTTTTTTCCTTCCTTTGGTATTGGTCGTGTTGATTTCCTTCTCCCCCTTGAATCTGTCGCCGACTCTGCACCTCCCTTGCTAAGTTCCTCAGCTCCTCTTTTTGGCCTTGTTTCTGATCCTCCTTGCCGACTTGAGCGTGTGTTGACCGTGTGTTGCCTCTCCTGATTGCCCCTTCGCTGGGTACTCCCGGTGTACTTGACCCCGGTATCGGGTGATGCTGCGCTGTCTTTCTTTCCTACCTCCCTTCCCCCCCCTCCTTCTTTTTTTTTTTTTTTTTTTTTTTTTTGGGGGGGGGGGGGGGGCGGTGTTAAATTTTGACAGTGAAGTTTTGCTTCTCCTCCTCGCTTTAACTCCTCCTTTCTGTTCGCTTGCTATGCCTGGTGAACACGCTGAACCCCTCGTTCATGTTAGTCACTCAGATTTCCTCTCCTCGTCGTCCGACTTTTCGGTCGTGGTTTGATCTTTGTTTCGTTGGCCTCCTCTTCGCGTCTTAGCCTTCTTCTCTCGGCGAACTGACTCCCTTGACCGGGGCGTCTTCAGGGATTAACCCGTGACGGCCTGATGCGATGTGTCCTTCTTGTGTAGTCCCCGACTATGGTGTGACAAGGTGGTGTAATCTTGAGTCTTCGACGATGTTCCCGTATGCTTTATCAGGGCTTAACCCTTGATGGTGTCGTGATGCGCGCCATCCTCAGGGCTCAACCCGATCGCGAAATTTTGGCGATGGCCCTTCGCCTACGTGGTCCGATTGCGTCAGTCAGCGATGACCCGTCGTCGGCGTTACCTTGCGACTTCGCGACAACGCAGCATGCGTGCTACCCCGGCGGCGCAAGCGGTTCGTCTTCACACGGTCGCGCCGATGCGGCTCTCTTTTATTTTCCTCTAGTTAAAGATTTTGTTGGAGAAATTTTCCGGCCCCTCAATCGACGAAGCCAGTTCGTCTCTCAATACAATCTTCTACTTCCAAGAAGGATGTAATGAGAAGATCCATCATGGCTCCGCTGATTGCAAACGTGAAGCGCTCCAATTGGCTAGTGATCTCGCCTCTGCCCTTGTCTTATCTTTATTTTCAATGCTGACCCTCTTTGTTTGACTGAAGGGTTTTGGAATGGGCACCCCGTAAAGTTGCCCAAATTTTGAAGATCCTTGCTCTTCTTGTCGCTCCAAAGGGAATGCGCATCCCATGCAATGATCCGGGTAGTTTTTGTTGTCATCACTTGGGACTTACCTTTGTTTTTCATCAATGTTGAAGAACCAGTGACTGCCTGTTCAGAAACTCTTTCCTAAACTCATCCATTCGCTTCCTGGGTAGTCCCCCTTCGTGCAAGAACATCAGGCATGAAAGTCACGTCGTATGGCCTGATTTCCTCTGCGAAGGGGATTCCCGAAGTTATTAGGGATTGACCGCCTTGTCCTGTGAGCGGTGGGTGCATGTGTATCGATTATCTGGACTGAGCTAGAGGATCCACCGGGGCGTCGACTTCTCAAACATCCCCGCCCACGACCCTTCCCCTACAACGAGGATATGACGTGTGTCTGCGAGTGGGACGTACGAGAAGTCGTACCCAAGATCAGCGGCCCTTACTATTTTCCATCAGAAACACAGTGTTCCGGATTTGTCAATTCAGGTTTTGTGATTGTGATACTCATTTCCCTCCCTACTCTGTTTTGCTTCCTTTCAACAAGTTGATCGTCATCTGGTGACCGACAGTTGCTCCCCATCGGCCTCGCACGCTGTGTCGCGATTGTTGCTGCACGAAGCGCTTCCAAGCCCAAGGGTTCAACTATCGGACACGTGGCGAAGAGGAGTTCAAAGAGAAAGCAGTGAGACTGCAACCCTACTCGGATTCCGAGCTTTGTGAAGAGGGCTGTCTGTCCCGCGTTCAAAACCAAGATATGACGTGTGTCCCTCCTCCCTTTCGGCCAGGAAAAAGGAGTCGCGCTGCGGGCAACGAAGTTCAACGATACTTTTTGGTTTAGATAGTCATTGGGAAGGACTCTTTTCCGCTTTTCCAGCTTTGTTCGCTGCTCCGTATCTTGGGCCACACGGGAGATTTCAGTTCTGTCTGTTTCTCCACACTCAATTTCCAAAAATCCTTGGCGCTCCCCATCTTGCCGCTTTCCAGACCCCTTTCCGTGCTTTAGTCACTCCAACAGGAAAGCTGTGCAGGGCGTGAGGTTGGAGCGTCACAGGTACAGAAATAGCTGTAGAGGGAGGACCTGCTCCTATGGAGATAGACCCACTGAAACTGGTTTTTGGCCCTCAACCAATGGAAATTGATCCCATCCCGGGTCCCCCACCAACACCAGATGTCTTGTCTCCAGTCACTGCAGAGGATGGCATTGATGGACAGCAAGTAAAAAAGACCATAGAACTGCAGAAGGTACTGAAGTCACGGTTGAAGTACACAGGACTCACTGAAGGCTTCTGGATGACATATATAGGCAGCTGGTTCCACTTCTGGAAAACCAGCTATGGCCTCAGAATAGCCCTCTTACAGGGTCTGCCAACAGGAGTCACTTGGCAGTCAATATGCCATATGTGGCAGTCAATATGCCAACAGGATTACTTGCAGTATTGGCGACAAGATTCCGGCCACTGTCTCGGCCTGCAACGGAAATATTACAACAACTAGGTAAGCAGATAATAAATGGAGCCTTTGTTTGGTAAAAAAAAATAATAATAATAAAAAATCCTAGGTAAGCAGATAATCACACACCAACCCCGAGACACAGGCCAGCTTACTACGAGCCTACTGCAGCTTCCACTTCCGCTGAAACCCCAGCAAAATGGGAGGACGGCCAACGCCAGAATGAGGACACCTGCAGGGTATAGCAGTTCCGCTTACATCCACGGCAATTGAAACTGGGTACGGTAAGGGGGATATTCATCTTTTTTTTTTTTTTTTTTTTTTTTTTTTCCAGGCAGTACCCCATACAACAGAAGTAGAATACCACCCAAGAGCCTAGCTCAGTGGGTAGTACTGGGTACACCCACTACCCATGAACTGTTGAAAAGAGACCCGTGTTCGAATCCAGATGATGGAAGTTGATGAGTAAAAGTTTTAAAACCAACTATTTCTGAATTACCTGGGGCTGGTCAGCTTAATGATGATATCTCAAGGCATCCAACGGCTTAGCTCAGTTGGTAAAAGGCACGCAAGTGGCATTCAGGAGGTCTTGGGTTCAATCCCCATTGGCCTCATGTACCTTCCTGGGCATGCTTGGCGCTTGCCACCTAGAGATAGCACGTTGGTCCCCCCAATTGGCATTAAAAAGCAGTCTCTGCTGATGTTCATAGGGGGAGGGGTAATCAGGGAGGCACAGCCACTGGCCACTCAGATGATGCTCGGTCCCTCTGCCACGGGCTGTCCCCTGGCCGGTGTCCCCCGTTGGGGGTTCCCTGAAGGCAATCAAGGCCACCCTGGGCTGAAAAGGCCACCCGATGTCAGATTAGACACAATATTGAATTTACCTGGAGCATGGTCCCACTAGCAACCGGATAGGATAGAAACGAGTTTGTGGGACAGTTGAGTGACCCAAATCCTGCCGTGCAGTACTGGGCTGGTTAGTCCGATGATAATACCTCAAGGCCGTTGCCCCTTTTAAATTAATTAAAAAAAAGAAAAAAAAAAGAACTAGAATACCAGCGAAGGATGTCGTTAGGCTGGCGTCCACTGCATCTGTTCCCGGGCACGAACAGGGAGATAGCCAGCTGGCAATCACTATCGGTTGTCCCATCGGTGAAAATGGGAAATCTGCAACTCAAAAAAAAAAATAAAAAAAATCTGCAACTCTCTGGCACCTTTCGAACTTGTTTTTGTTTTTTGTTTTTTGTTTTTTGTTTTTTGTTTGTTTGAGGTTTCGAACTTTTTTGTTTTTGTTTTTTGTTTTTTTGAGGTTTCGATTTTCCATTTTTATTTTTATTTTTATTTTTGAAAATTTTGGACCGTTTCTCGATTTATGCGTGTCATCCTTGCACAGGGGCCATGCTAATCTTCTCTGTATCATTCCAATTTTAACATCCTTGCACATGGGCCATGCTAATCTTCTCTGTATCATTCCAATTTTAACAGATGTCCCGAAGGACGATTTTCCATGTTTCGAAAGGCTGTGTGGTGAGTCTCTCTCTCTCTCTCTCTCTCTCTCTCTCTCTCTCTCTCTCTCTCTCTTCTCTCTCTGTGACAAAACTTCGGTACGTTGGGCGTCGCTGCACTCCTCACCAAATGCACGAGAGACCAAAATAAGGCGGTGCATCTGTCCATGTTCTAGCGGATGATTGATTCTAATGTTGTACATTGGGTGAGTGCTGCGGCGAGGCCCATTCTCTCTCTCTCTCTCTCATTCTTTGTGCCGTTACCGGGGACTGAGAGTCGTGGCTGGGCGTTTTGTCACCTCCCTCTCTCTCTCTCTCTGTGCATCACGACGACTACCATCGCGATCGCTATCAGATCCCATCTCTCTCTCTCTCTCTCTCT